CCCCAAAACCCCAAAACCCCAAAACCCCAAGAAGTAAAATTTGAAAAAATTAAGTCAATTTTATGTTTACAAAAGTTTTTATAACTTTATTAGCCTTAATTAATGATAATAACATGCTATATTTAAGATTTTTTAATAATAATAATAATGTACAGCAATATAAAACATGTGCAAAGACCAGGCGTTCAAAATTCATGCAAAAGATCAGGCTTATTCATATCAATCTAGAATCTTGTTTTGTAAGCTAAATAGCAAATCTAAAATTATTTTTATATAGATTAGTGATATTTTCTATGTCGCTGAATGTTCAAGCCTAACAATGTTTTAAAAATTATGAAGAAATATCTTCCAGTCATATGAACTTTATCCTTGGAAATGCATTAACAGACAATGCAATTATTACTGCATTTGATGTAGATGACTAAGTATTAATAGTTTCCTTTCAGAGCAATTTGAAAAATTCAAATCCTGAGAATGAAGTTTACATCATGTCTTATGATCTTTAAGAGAAAAAGGCACTTTGGACTAAAAGAAAATCATAAGATAGGAATATCATAGAATCTGTTAAAATAATGCCTTTCGGTAACAAAATTATTGCCTTTGACTAAAATAAGACATTGCTTTATATTGATATGAAGAGTGGTTCATATGAGGCAGAATTTAAGATAGTATACGCACCGAATAATAAATTTGTAATGATTTATGACAAATTCGGTACAGCATATTTAGCATCAAATGGTACTGGATAATCCAAACCCTTTATCCATATTCTTTCATTTGATATGTAACCTCCATTGGTCTCTTTTTAATAACTAATAAATACTGGTGGAGATGTTGGTAACAACATTCAAAGCATTTGTATTAGTGATGATGACAAATATGTTTATTCGAGTATCTCTGCTAATTATCAAGGTAGTAACTCAGCGTATAGAATAGCTATTATTCAAATAGGAACACAAAACTAAGATTATGAAGTTTATTAATAATGAGTATTCGCTACTGGTCATTCTAGTTGAAAATTACTACTTTACTCTTTAAGTGCTACTTCTGATTATTGTATAGGCTTGATGGCTTAATAAATCTCAAGCACTGATGGTTTAATTGGTCTCACTGTATTAGATTTAGTGACAGCAAAACTAACTCTGTATTATCAAGTCTCATTTAAGTACACGTAAATAGAAGTTTTATCATCAATAATTACTAATTAGGCAACTGCAACATTTATAATGAAAGTAAATCTACCTGGGACCTTAACTTACTAGTAGTATTTAGTGACAATCAGTGATTTCAAAAGTCCTTAAAATATGATATTTAGAGCATTATAAGATTATCCATACTCATATGCTGACTATAATTCTGTCTCTATTAAGTCTAACAATAAGATATATATGTCTGGTTTGATTTATCAGGAAAGTGGTTTTAATCCTTAAGGGTTTATTAATGAATATTTAATTGACCCAACTTGCAATTATTAATAGCCTTATGGGCCAATCTAGACTTTTAGTATAACAGAACTAGATTTATTTGTTCGTATTGAGAGTAATAATTATTATACTCTTTAACTATCAAACACTAAGAACACCACTGCAATACAATAATTTGTATAACTAGAAAAAGCAGAATATATTAATGTTTATAACAACAATAAACCTTGCTAATTTCAATATAAGAATTCAGGAGGATTTAGTTCGTTTTTAGAAACTCCTACTTCAATATAAGAACCAGTATTTTGTTTCACAGACCTTAATTGTGGAATATTCCTTGGAGTATATAAACTCATGATGCCTTGCAGCAATCTGAATACTACATTAATTATGAACTTGTTTAATAGTTAAAAAAATGGGTTGTGGTTTCATGATAAGAAGTATTCAAAAAAGAGTTTAAGTACTCTGGTAAATATTACTTTCAATGGAACTTCTTAGCATTAATAGTAAGATGGAATAATGCAGAAATACTAGAATATAGTTTAGCTTGGGTCATAAGAGGATCTTATTCTGAGTTCAAGTCTTGAAGTCACGATTCATGTATACTGGAAATGTGAAATAGCTATTATTAATAGTACTGCTCCATAGATTATCTATTTATCAAGAAATAAGGGATTTACAGACGCTGAGATGAATCTGTTCCAATTTATATACAATAATGATTGCTTTAACTTTGATATTGTCAAAGCATTTGAAGATGACAAATAATTTGGAGAATTAGAGTAAAGCTATTACAGTTAATGGGCTATGATAAATAACATTCAAAAAAATATCCTAACTATAAATACATCTGAGAAATTAACAAGAACGAAATATATTTTCAAAATAAGAGCACTTAACTAAAACAATACATTAGTTATTTCAGAAGGAGTGTAGAGACTTGATCTTTACTTTGATCCTGAAAGAGATATAGATTCTCCTCCTTACTTTATGTCGTTTATTCCAAAGATTATTACTGCACCAGGAGAAATAATCACCTTCAGCATCCCTTAAATAAGAGACAATTAATTTGATAATTTTACTTTGATTATTGACTATGGTGCTTCCTTTTTGTTTGTCCGCTTTAAGGATGATTTAATGAGAATTGAACCTGATGATAAGCATTCAGGTAAATATTAAGTTAAATTTATTCTCAAGTAACATACGAAATTTCCCTTTATCAAAAGAACATATCTCATGGACATCAATGTAAAAAAGTCTTAATCAAATTCCATTGATAATAGTAGTAATTATATAATTACAATGACTAACAACGCTAGGATAATTTCAGTCAATGCGACTGGTTATGTAATCATAAGATTTAAAGATGCTTTGTAAAAACCAAAAGATTTGTCATTAATAAATCAGAAAAGAATTAGAATAGAATTGCTTTCTACCTAAGAGGGATAAAATGAACTAGTAAATTATTAGTTATAGGATGTTACCAAGGATACGATGGTAATAAGACTTTTCTTCCAAGATTTTACTTAAGTCTCAAAATTTCAAGTAAGATTGATATCAATATTATCATGTCACAGGATTAAGACATATTAAGTGTGAAGTTTAAGGACATGGCATTATTCTATGAAAGACATACTAATAGATTCACACCAAATTATGTCATGTACAAAGGAGTTCCTACTTAAATATCAGAAGGTAATAATAAATTTTCAAATTATATTATCAATATTTTAGATCTAGCATAATTTCTCTCCTAATATGGATATGGCTTCAAACTAACCTCAAATACTGTATTGGGCACTAACCTGATTGCTACTCTATTAATGTAAAATTATTCTTGCTTTTATTAAGAAATAACTAGTTCTCAAACACTATAGCACTTATGGAGTGCTATAAACTCATTTCAACTACTTTCTCATCTTCCAATGATAGGCATTAATGCTCCAGCCAACGTTTAACTTTTTTTCCTTTATGTGCTAACATTGGCAACTTTCAATGTCCTACCTACAGACACTTTTTATAAGGAAATTTTGTAGATTACAGATGATATCGACTACCCAATGAATGATTTTTTCTCTTAATATGGATATCAGTCAATGAACATAGTAATAAATCTTGGAACAA